AGAATGAAGATTGAGGGTGATTGTACTCTATGTGTACAATTCCCAGCAGGAGGATCAAGGTGATTATAAATGTATTTTTTATAATCCACAGTTTGAAAGTGAGGGATTAGAGTCGGGACTGAGAGTTAATGTAGTGACGCTAGTGGTGATAGATGGAAATACAAGTAAAGAGCTCCAAGCTGTAGGGAAAATAGATGAATCCACAACAATTACATCAACACTTCAGCCTAATACAACAACAGTAAGAAGCAATTCAACTCTTTCAACATTGAAAGCTGTTAAAGCTATAAATGTATCACATTTCATTACAATGGCGCCTCAGAAACTCGCTCCAACACCAATTTTAGAAGAAAAGACTGTCATTAGGGTTAGGATGGGTGGTACAGCTCATCTTCCTTGTAGATGTGAGAGACGGAGTGGGGGTGGTGACATTCCTCCCACGTGGAGAGATAATTATGGAGAAGAAGTGTTGTTATCAGGACCAGAAGTAGAAGCTGTGCCACCTAGTCAAAGGAAGTATATTTTGTACAACGATATGAAGTGGAAGAGGGTTATGAGTGATTGCTCACTTATTTTGAGTAATATTACATGGGAAGATCAGGGAGAATATACTTGTACTTATTTAGAGCCAGCGTTCAAATTTGTTCCGGTTAAGAATTACTGGTTAGAAGGCTATGTAACCCATAAGGTGACGCTTATGATGGAAGATTTAAAGTCTGTTGAAGTTTCCACAGTCACCAAAGGAGTTCAAGAGCAGTATATTACAGTTGCCACTCCAACAGTAAATAATACACAGAGGACATCTGTAACTTTGCCACTGGAAATAATTAAGAGTGTTAATACATCAACTAAAGCCACTATTTTAACAGTAACTTTGGAAGAAATGAAAGTTACAACAGCGATAACACGTCTCGGAAATGTGACACAGACACCAACAACAACTTTTCTGAAACTAAAGGATGTAGTAAACGTGACTCAGAAGTCTATGATACAGATGGAGAGTGCTGTAGATGGTGGTAAGGATGGTGTTGAAATAGGAGAACAGATGGTAGCAGTGAATCATGTACATTCATCTGAAATAGTGCAGAATACTATCCCGGAGGTACAGGATGAGTTCTTTAATTTTGATGGAACACCAGAAGATATATCTGATCAATACCGCTCGTTAGGGAAGAGAGAAACTAAATGGAAGGCATATGGATTTGACTCTTCTGTTTTGCAAATTAAAGATGGATGGGCAGGTAAGAATCTATGGTTCCAGCAGTTAACTCATTCTGTAAGATCAGTGAGGAATCTTGAGGGTCCATGTCTGCTGAGAATTCCAACACCAGGCACATGGGGTTCAATCTTAGAGACAGTGGCTCAACCTCTATCAACCGCGTGTCAATCTTATGCTTTATCATGGTTGTTGTATCAGCAACAATCATTAACAGATATAATGATGTCGTTGTCGAAGCATTTGTTTAGGCCTAGGTTTAATTGCTCTTGGTTAAATGAATTACCCTATGTGAATTTGTTAGATCAGAAGGAAAATCAGTTAACAGCGATTCCTGAAGCATTGGAGGTGAAACCAGTGAGGGCTAGAAGCTGTTTTTGTTCAAATAAAACATATGATGGACCGGGTATGTTTATGGGAATATCAGATTGCGATGATTATATGATGACTTTGGGTAAGCATGAACGTAAGGTTAGTGATGAGACATATAAAGTAACTTTTTATGTTCCACTTAGTAAGAACAGAAGGACTTTGATGGTAAAAGATCAGCTTTTGCCTGGAAATGTGACTATTGGGAATTTTCGACATATTTGGTGGGTTTGTGGTGATAAAGCATATATATTCTTACCCTATGGATGGACAGGATGTTGTTACATGTCGACGTTGAAGCTTCCATATGAGGTTTATACTATTCAAAAGGGGAAGGCACCGGACACTGCTAAATCTGATTCTAGGTCTGGAAATAGGGTGAAAAGGGAAATGGCACAATTTCATAGTTTGGAATCCTACCATTGGAGGATAAGTCTAGGAGAGAAGTGGGGACTTGGACTTTTTCCATGGTATGGTGTAACATTTTTGGCAGATCACATTGATAATATTACCTATACTTTGTAGGGTTTTGCAAATGAAACGATACGAGGGTTTAATCTTCTGTCAAATACTCAAAGAAGTCACAGACTGACGCTGTTGAAACATGACATGGCTCTTGACTATATTTTAGCCAAACAAGGTGGCTTATGTTTGGCTATGAATTTGACGGGGGATGATTGTTATACTTTGATCCCCGATAGTTCCGATAATATCACTAGTGTTATAGATGCATTGAAGAGTATAAGGGATGCGTTTGGTCGATCTGAAGGAGCTGGATGGTCAGCGAAGGCTTGGTTGCAAGATCAGTTAGGCCCAGTGGGAGCAGTGATAGTTCAGATTTTAGTAGCAGCTCTTATAGCGCTGTGTGTAATGTTTTGCTTTTGTACTCTGTTATTGACTTTTGCGAAGGCTATGATATTGAGATGGGTTGGAGTTGTGATGCCTGGGGACAACACTCAGATGCCGTTGTTAACTGTTACTGATCTAGATGGAGATAAACAAGTAGGACTAGATGGAGTATTGATGGATAGATATCCATTTTGAATATCCGATCATTTTTCACGTCTTTAAATATTATTGTGATATTTAGTATTTTCTTATGAATCAAAGGGGGAAATGGGATGTGATTCATTTTATATATCATTCTTATATTATTGCTGATATTGATGTTTTAATTTGCATGTGTTGTTTTGCAAAAGATACTGGTTGGTCTTTTCTTTTCTTCCAGAAGTATATGGGGATGTGTAGAGGGGACTCAAACACTCAAACATGGACAATATGAATGGACTGGAGGAAGTGGAACAAGGAAGGTGTGGAAATGTTCAGATTCCATCATCGACGTCGCATTGAAAGTCGACACTGTGGAGGAGCTGCAGTGTAGTGGACTACATTCCAGTGTTATATTCTTTCTGTATAACATTTTTTCTGTTGTTGGGTACATGTGGGGACCTCAGATGTTTTTGTTTATTTCGTTGAAGCTTAGGGATATTGGGTCTAGGCAGGGACAGAGAGAATCCACAGGAGGGTCCGATGGGTCGACCAGCCTGAATGTGGACATTTTTGATTGTTTTGTTTGCTGGGGTTTTCATGTGTATTCAATTGCATCATAGCTTAAAATGCATTGATAAAGATTTATAAATTGATCTGGAGTACTTAGGTGGTCGCCTAGGGCAGAGGGGCCGTGAGAGAATTTTCCTGTCTTGATTGACTGATGGATATTTGGAATGAAAGCTGCCAGACAGGTTTTTCGCTCTTACACTCCATAACAATATATTTACACTCCATAACAATGTATTTACACTACATACAAAAATGTGTCTATATAAACATGTGTTTACTCTCCATAAATTTGGGTTTATTGCTAAAGTTAATCAAGAACAAGAATTGTTATTTGTCATAATCCTATTCTTTATGTAGTGTCTGAGGGTCTATGATTTTGCTGACGTTTGCAAAAAGTGTGTTAGAGGAACTTGGCTCTGCTTGTGGAAACATCTGGAAAGCATTACTACATAGGCTTCTTGGAATAGAGGATATGGGGAGATATGTGGAAAGCCAGGGATTGGTTTATTAAAATCACACCATATTATGTCACATAGGATATAAATACCATGTCTTAAACAAAGGACTGGGAGAATAGCATATTACAGATCGGGTCCGGCTGTTCTTCAGATATTCTGCAGATGTCTGTAAATTGACGCTAAAACTCTTTGGATACAATAAACCTTTATAACCAAAGTACAGCGTCAGCGGATCTTCTTATCATCACAGCATTATCAGCGTCGTTGTCTTTACACCACACATTTCCTAATAATTGCTCCCACAGTTGATTTCTTCAAACCAAGCTGCTTACCTATTGCAGATTCAGTCTTCCCAGCCTGGTGCAGGTCTACAATGTTGTTTCTGGTGTCCTTTGACAGCTCTTGGTCTTGGCCATAGTGGAGTTTGGAGTGTGACTGTTTGAGGTTGTGGACAGGTGTCTTTTATACTGATAACAAGTTCAAACAGGTGCCATTAATACAGGTAACGAGTGGAGGACAGAGGAGCCTCTTAAAGAAGAAGTTACAGGTCTGTGAGAGCCAGAAATCTTGCTTGTTTGTAGGTGACCAAATACTTATTTTCCACCATAATTTGCAAATAAATTCATTAAAAATCCTACAATGTGATTTTCTGGATTTTATTTCCTCAATTTGTCTGTCATAGTTGACGTGTACCTATGATGACAATTACAGGCCTCTCTCATCTTTTTAAGTGGGAGAACTTGCACAATTGGTGGCTGACTAAATACTTTTCCCCCCACTGTACAAATAGTTGATTTGGCACCACATTATTTGAAAACACTCAAATACACAGAATATAAGTATTTAAATGACAAATACTTAAAATACAAATGTATTTCAACTCAGGTCTGGATCACAGGTGCACACATTACACAACACATTGGCAACCCAGCAAGTGAATGCACTTCAAGACATAAACAAAAGTTATTTAATTATCAATAGTAGCCTCAATCAATAGGTTGTAGTGAACAAGGTCCACAATGATAGCACTGATAGGCCTAGTAAGTACTCCTGAGTGGCGCAGTGGTCCAAGGCACTGCATCGCAGTGCTAACTGTGCCACTAGAGATCCTGGTTCGAATCCAGGCTCTGTCGCAGCCGGCCGCGACCGGGAGACTCATGGGCGGCGCACAATTGGCCCAGCGTCATCCAGGGTAGGGGAGGGAATGGCCGGCAGGGATGTAGCTCAGTTGATAGAGCATGGCGTTTGCAAAGCCAGGGTTGTGGGTTCGTTTCCCACGGGGGGCCAGTATAAAAAAATATGTATTCACTAACTGTAAGTCGCTCTGGATAAGAGCGTCTGCTAAATGACTAAAATGTAAATGTAGTAGTTAATAGATTATGGTTGAAATGACTTACCACCAAGGATACACCAGCAGGGTTCCCCAAGAGAGGAGGGCAGGGGCTGAGCACTGCAAGAGCCATGAGGTAGGCTGCAAAGACCCCACCTGCTACAGACATGAAACCAAGACCCACAGATGACCTGCAATACAGACAGGAAAAACACACCCAGAAGTAATATCACCTGATTCAACATTAATAAACCATGTACAATTATTCCAAACCATATCTAGGCCTACAGTCCGTCCATATTTACATTATAATATTCATACAGCAATATGAATATTTATATCAATCAATTACTGTACATGAGGGTGCAACACACATTAACTGTGGTATAGGCCTACACACTAATCATGCAGTGTAACTCAGTCATATCCACTCACCTGCAGAGGACAAACATGGACACAAAGCAGGCTAGTGGGTTTGCAATGTTGCCAAGGACCACAGAGAGGTGATAGGTCATGGTGCCATAGGGCAGACAGGAGAAGCTCTGGACAGAGGGAAGGACTCCGTTGGTCAGGGCGTTGGACACACCTAGTAGCACCAGCAGGTAGATGTTGCGTGGCGTCCAGAAGGTTTGGACTGGGGCTGCTTTCTCCAAATCCACCTGGTCCTCAGACACCGGTGTTCCTCCATTCTGGAGCGGGTGGGTCTCCTCCCCATTATCCTTTGTCGTCACCATCTCAGGCTCTGGGGTGTCCTCCTGTAATGCTGGCTCTGTTATTTCTCTACACGTCAAAGCCATGAAGCAGAGGGCTGAGATTGTCAGCATTACAAACAGGAACCAAAAGAAGTCCTGGGCAGGGAAGTTTTCTTCCAGGTAGTGCGGCTGTACCGTGCCATTCTCCATTTTGCACTCCAATTTCCCCACACCCTGCCCCAAAGCCACAACACATGGGAACAGGGCACTGAGCCCCTGGCCAACAAAGAATGTGCGGATGTATTGAGGGGGGTAGCGGAACATGAAGGGCAAGAAGGTGACATTGGACGTACAGCAAACCAGAGCCAAAACGAACGTGAGCAGCAGATATGGTACTGATCTCACTTCCCCTGCCACAGTGGCCACCTGTGACCAAAAGATGGCTAGGAAGATTGATGCCACCACTGCTAGAACCTGGATACAGTGGATGACCAGGCGCTCGTTTAACTGTCCTGGGGCACAGTGGTGCATTATGGTCACAGCAATCGGACCTATATTCCCAAAGGCTATCAGTACTGACAGATAGACTGGCAGGATCCACCCTACATATAGAAAACAATGGTCAGTGTCAATCAGAATACACTGCCTGATTAAGCTACTGTCTTTTAGCCTAGACTTCATGGAACAGTTTCTGTATTCAATAATAATACTGTAAAAGGACTAAAACAATAGTATTTATTATAGAATGCTATAAATGAAGAGGGTACCATGCATTGACAATGAGAGAACATAAAAAAAGAAAACTCAGGTACTGACCTTCAGGCAGAACGTTGACAACGACGGGTAGCTCAACCCAGAGACAGTTCACTGAAATCCAGGAGCCCATTCCGAAGAGAGCCACAAGGACGTGAGTACAAGCGGCACTGTTCCACCAAGCCCCCGCCATTTAGCCGTTCTGACGAAGAAGACAGATAAGATTTACGTTATGTATCGTTTCAAAAGTGGGGCAGATGACATATGGGCACGTGTCCTTTCTTATGAAAACATCAGCCGGCAGGATGGTTAGGTAAAATGCGTCCGATTTAAAAAAAACAAATATTCTTCTTCTTCGGGTTTATCAGCAGTTGGCATTCAACGTTACGGTGCATTACCGCCACCTACTGTACTGAAGTGTGGGCCAGACACCGGGAGAAACTAAATCCTACCTGCCAGCCTCGTTGCTCTTAAAAAATATCACAAAATATTTGAGACTACATCTAATGACGTTCTACTCAATATACTCTAAACTAATTTCCTGTATCCCCTTCTCCCTCATACTAGATATCATCCTCTCTTTCCCTCTGATACTGCCCACACTGTAGCAATACATGCTCCACGGTCTCTGTTTCCTGACAATAATCACACTTACCTGTTGGATGCTTTCCTATCACATTTAATGTCTTATTCAACTGGCTGTGTCCCACCCTTAATCTTATAAAAATAGCCTCCTCTCTTCTGTCCCTTCCTGCCATCCTCCCCTCCCCAACTTTCCTCTGTACTTAATAAATGCCTTCCCTTATTATCTCTATTCCACTGCTCCTGCCATCTCTGCACCATCACTTTATATATCAGGCTTTATGCCTCTGCCTTGCTCATTGAAACTACAACATCAACATCCCCACTACTAAGTGCTTGTTTAGCCAGTTCATCTACTGCCTCGTTCCCCTCCACCCCCACATGGGCTGGGACCCAAGTAAATCTTATCTGTATACCTATCTATTTAATTCTGCCATGGTTTTGTAGCACCTCATAAAGCAGGTCTTGTCTGCTACGTGAGCTAAAGGACTGGAGACTCATTAACAATGCACATGAATCAGAGCAAATAACTACTCTGTCTTGTCAGCTCCGCCGTATATACAGCCAGATTATCTGTAATACGTTTCCTGACTTCCACCCCACATTCCATCACCATAGCAGCACCCACCCGTAGTCTGCGCTCCAGCAGGTATATCTCACTGGTCATCCCCAAAGCCAACACCTCCTTTGGCCGCCATTCCTTCCAGTTCTCTGCTGCCAATGACTGGAATGAATTGCAAAAATCTCTGAAGCTGGAGACTCTTATCTCCCTCACTAACTTTAAGCATCAGTTGTCAGAGCACCTTACCGATCACTGCACCTGTACACAGCCCATCTGAAATTAGCCCACCCAACTACCTCATCCCTATATTGTTATTTATTTTGCTCTTTTGCACCCCAGTATCTCTATTTGCACATAATCTCTTGCACATCTATCATTCCAGTGTTAATACTAATTGTAATTATTTTGCACTATAGCCTATTTATTGCCTTACCTCCATAACTTGCTACATTTGCACACACTGTATATATATTTTCTGTTGTATTTTTTGACTTTGTTTTTTTTACCCCATATGTAACTCTGTGTTGTTGTTTTTATCGCACTGCTTTGCTTTATCTTGGCCAGGTCGCAGTTGTAAATGAGAACTTGTTCTCAACTGGCTTACCTGGTTAAATAAAGGTGAAATAAAATAAAATAAATTCCTGCACTACAAATGCTGACCCAGTACATCCTGTCCTTGGATCTTTTGAACCATCTGTGTAAATGGCCACAAAATCCTGATACACAGTTTCCAGACATCTCTTAAACAAATCAGATGGATCAACACCCTCCCTATCTTTCTGTAGTCTCTCCAACACTTCTAGATCAACTACTGGAGGCGGGTGTAGCCATGGTGGATTTACAGGAATAACTACCGTTAGACTAAACTCCCTTCCACCCACCCAAAGCTCGTGTTCTGTCTTTGCTCATGTTCCCAGCATGCCTGTAAAATCCCTTTCGCAGCATGAGACACCCCTTGTCCTTGTAGGTTGACCCAATAATTCATTGCCAGCTGCTGTCTCCTAATCGGCATTGACATATCCCCCCATCTCCACCTGTAATGCAGCCACTGGGGACGTCCGAAACGCCCCACTACATATTCTGAGTCCTTGCCCCTGTATGACATCTAGCCTTTCCAGTGAGGTCCGGGCCTCCGAACCATATGCTATACTGCCATAGTCTATTACAGATCGGATCAATGCAACATACATGGTCTTCAATGAGGAACGCCCAGCCCCCCAGTCCTTCCCCGTCAGACAGCGCATCACATTTAGCACCTTCTTATACTTTCCACCACTCTCTCAATGTGTTCTGCCCAGGTCAGTCTAGTGTCAAAGTATACCCCAAGGAACCTGAAGGCCCCCACCCTCTCCAAGTTTCTCCAATATAACCTCAAGCATACCTCATCTCCCACCTTCCTCCTGGTAAAGAACACAGTTTTCTCTACAGAGAACGTGAATCCCCACATTAATGCCCACCACTCTACCTCATCAATTGCTTCCTGTACCTTCCTGACTATGTATGGCACATTTCTTCCCCTCTTCCATAAGGCCCCATCATCTGCAAATAACGAGCTCCCTATATCCGGCTGTACCTGAGAGTAAACATCATTGATCATGATTGAGAACAACAGAGGACTAATCATGCTCCCCTGTGGTGTACCGTTATCCACCAAGTAGCTGCCAGATAAAAATACTTCTCCACCCTCACCTGGATAGACCTTCCAAACAGGAAATCCTTTATCCAGTTGTACGTTCTTCCTCCTACCCACATAATATCAAGCTTGATTAACAACCCCTCCTTCCACATCATATCATACGCCTTCTCCACATAAAAAAAACCAGCTACAACAGTCTCCTTGTTCACCTGAGCCTTCCTGACCACTGGATCCACAGTTCCCCTACCCTTCCTGAACCCACTGATGTGGCGATACTAGCCCTCTGCTCTCCAGGAAGTAAGTTAGCCTCTCTGTAATCATGCGTTCCATAATCTTACATACATGTGATGTTAAAGCTATTGGCCGATAGCTTGTTGGCCTCGTTGGATCCTTCCCGTGCTTCCGGATTGGTACCACTACTGCCTCCTTCCAACTGCCTGGTAGTTTCCCCTCCTCCCACACTCTGTTGTACAACACCAATACCTTATCCACTGCCTCATCACTAAGATGGGCCAACATAACATAGCACACCTAATCTTTCCCAGGTGAAGTTAACCCAGCCTTACCTATTGCTCTTTTCACCTCTGCCATTGTAAATCGTGCATTCAACGCATCATTTACATCCTCCCTCCTATCCAGCACTCCAGGATGCTCCTCTCTCGTGTTCTCTCTCCCCCTCTGCCACTCCTCTGACAGATTTGCGGACAAATGCTTTGGCCATCATCTCTGCTTTCTCCTCATCTGTTACTGCCACATCCCCCCCACTCATCAACACTGGATAATCCCACTCCCCTCTGACCCCACTCATCCTCTTAATCATCCCCCACACTTCTCCCACAGGTGTCGCCCTTCCAATGGTGTCACAGCACCGACGCCAACATGACCTCTTTGCGTGACGGCTAGTTCTCCTCACCAGAGCCTGGGCCTGCTTATACTGAATCACATGTTGGAAGTTAAGCGTCCTTTTCATTACTCTAAATGCCCTGTTCCTACTCCTCACCATTGCCCCACATTCCTCTGTCCACCATGGAACTGCTTTCCTCCTCCTCCTCCCTGAACTCTTAGGTATAGCCTCAGTAGCTGCCCCCCACTAATGCTGTTCTCACCCAGTTATTCATACTATCCACATCCCCTCTCATATCCACCCGAGCCATCACCTGCTCACTCAGCTCCTGAAACTGATCCCACCTTGCCCTTCTAAACACCCACCTGCCTACTCCATCCACTGACACCTCCTCCTCCCTCCGGCCTACTGTGCATACAATGGGGTAATGATCACTCCCTACTGTCGACTCCCATACCTCCCACTCACATATTCCTGCCATCGCACTAGATACCAGAGTGAGGTCCAAGGCAGACTCTTTCCCTGTGGCTACATCAATCCTGGTCCCTTGGCCATCATTTGAAGAGTAGATTACTCTCCTCCCCTTACCATGTGGCCATTCAGAGCGCTTCTAGGGATTGTGAAGACAGGCATTGCTGCACTTCAGAGGCAAAATACAGTGCATGCGATTTAGTTTGATGCGCATGGCACCGGGAAAGTGCAGCACATTTCCCTAGGCAGAGTGAACACTGATCCACCCGCTCTGTGCTTCGATTTAGTGTGCTGGTGTGAATATCGAGTGCACTGATTCGTATCAGGTTTACTCAACAAAATACAACTGCATTACAGCTTGTATGTCTAATACACCTTCCATTGTCTTACAAATAAAGCATTTCATAATAATGAACTAATTGACCTACTGGGCTATATAACCACATAAACAAACCCTTCAGAATGTCACATGATCCCTATCATAATATTCAGAAGTGAGAGTTTATACAGTTAAAGGGGCAATCTGCGATTGGTGCATCGATTTGAATTAAATTAATGCTAGCCATTGATTCTTGAATAATTTAACCTATTAATGCCTCATGACCTTAGTTCAACTGTCGTACCCTACCAGAACCCATAATAAGCTTGTTTTACTCAATTGTTTGTAAACAACATAATTTTAAAACAAACACTAAAGCCTCAAAACATGACTAAAACTATCATTTTGATCTCATGCGTGGTCAGTCTGTATCCATAGCTCAGTCTATGAATTTGAGCGTGGTTAAATTTTTCCAAAACAGTGGCAGGTTGAGCTTTGTTAATATCTGAACAGCAGATTGCCCCTTTAATGTCACACTGGGTAAATACATTGAATATACCCACTGTGCACCCTCAAAACGAATGTTTAAATGTTCATTCAATACTTTTAAGTATCCCAATATATCACAGGTTGTGTAAAGATAAATGGCATCTCAGTGTAAAAACTGTCAAACCTTACATCTGGAAATTCTAATCAAATGTTATTTGCCACATGCGCCGAATACAACAGATGTAGACCTTACAGTGAAACGCATACTTACAAACCCTTAACCAACAATGCAGTTTTAAGAAAAATAAGTTTTAAGTAAAAAAATAGATACGTAAAAAATAATTAAGAAATAATAATTAAAGAGCAGCAGTAAAATAAAATAACAGTAGGGAGGCTATATACAGGGGTTACCGGTACAGAGTCAATGTGCGGGGCA